AAGAATCAGAAAGAGCTAAATAAAAGAAGGTTAGCCAATTCAAACATTGAGTAATGGTTTCATGTGGTAATTTCAAAAATATTGGCCCATATATTCAAAAAGAGGGAATTTCGGGAAATCCAATATGAAAGCCAAAATTTGCATGTAAACAAAGTTTTATTATCAATATTGTAATTCAGTATACAGTAAAACCTGTCTAATTTAAACACCATTGGGGCCGGCTAAGTGTCCAGATTAGGAGGTTATTCTGGATTTTGAAGAAATGTTAGTACATTCTAAATAAAATTACTAGTTCTTTTTACCATGTAGCTTTATGCCATTCAAATGATTCGAAAATTCAATTCAAATGAATTTAGTCATGCTAGAAACCCCCATTATGTTTGAGACCATTCAAGGTTTTTTCAAAAGTTTTGATATGACAAATCAGTGTGAACTTTCAAATATTTGATCAATTGTATGAAACGTGTGATATGTATGAAAAATGTTCTATCTATTATAAGACAGGTTAATTTATATATGATTGTTCACTTTTCAAATTGGGAGGTGTTCATATTTCTAGGTTTTTCAATAATGGGAGTCAATGGGAGAACAAATGGGACTGATTAAAGTTTTCACCTTGAGAGGTGTATGGATAAGCCATGCGTTTGGATATGCAGGTTTTACTGTACACAATTTTTTCTACCTGTTTAAACCTGAACTTTGTATATTTTTTTAAAAGTTTAAGTTAAAGTTTATTCCAATCTTAACATGTCACATGCAATCAAATACAAAAAAAAGTCAAATACAATGTGATAGATAATGATAGATTTGAGTTCATATACTTACCAACTAAAGATTCATCTATGCAGATGTCTCTTCCCATCTGCCAACCCTCAGCAGATCTCTCATTTATGAGGTCAATCACTGGCTTTACCTTGAAGGAAGGATCAAATCCTAGCTGCCCCCTTGGAACTTGCAGTTGGTTATTGTTACAGTGCAGGAACCTGTAGATCAACTGCCACCTGTAGAGACATTTATGTGTAACTGTACATTATCATATAACTGGTAATGGTATCAGCTGGTATCAAGTGTACATTATATATTTCAATATTGTTATGTACATGTATATACTGCACAAAGCTATTTTGGGAGTTGATTATCTGTAGTATTTCATAAATCTTATACTAAAAAACTTAAAATTGGGTTAAATAAGTAACATTAATATGTATTGTTGTTTCTAGGTTTTGAGGTTTAAGTTTTTTTCAATTTTCATGTAATTTATTATTTCTTTCAAGTACCTGTTTCTTGACATGGTTTCACCGAAAGCTGGTGTATGCTGAAGCCTTGTCTCCATGCTGGTATTCCAGTATGAAGGCAGTGTGCCTTTCTGCACTACCCCCATGTTTAGAAGAAGGCCAATAAAGGCCTTCATCTCACAGTGTGTCGTATCCACCCACTCCCTTGCTCGCGAATGTTCTGCTAAGTCTTCGGAGAGGCATTGAGCGGCATACCTGGAATGAATGATAATATTCAGAGTCAATGTGTACTCAGTCTACTGTATTTACTGTTTAGGCTGTATACATGTACCTGTACTGTACATGTAATATAGGTCTAATATATGTATAAAGTTACAAATTACAGTAGTAGGCAAGCCACCATTGGATTAAATGTACAATACAGTATGGATATTTTGTATAGCACATGTAGATATCTAGCATAAAACAAACCTCATAAATATTGACTTCTAAGTATCTATGTATATACTAGCCTAGTACTTGAGAGCATATGAACATACCTGTTTGTTTCATCAACCAAAATGTCAAACAGGTCAACCCTGACCTGACCAGGCTGGGTTCTAGTCGAGTAGAACATAAACCACTCTAAAGGTCTAGCTGTCGCCTCTGGGGAACCTGCAGTGGGTCCCTGCCTCAACCCAAACCTAACATTTGTTAGATCCACCTCTTCGGGACCACATTGGGTCCACTCCCCGTCACCCTGGACACCCCCTACTGCCCCTTGTACTACATCATCGTCCTCATCATCAGTACTTAGTGGTGAAAAATCGTTTTCAGACAAGTTGTCAAACCAATCAAGTTCGACATTGGCAGCCATATTGGTTACTATCAACTATTACCAAAAGTAGGTCATGAATGACCACGAATTATATCCCAAGTAAATCATAAATTACCGAAAATACATGCAGTATTCATATATAATTTACTTTTTACTACCTACAAGATATCAAGACTAATCAAATTTCACATTAGTTCAAGTAAAACAATCCTAATTTATATGTTAAAAATTCAAAAACAATGAAAAAAAGTGAAGCAACAAATTTTGTGACCTGTCATTTTGTTTTTCTTTGTAGGAATAAAAATTGCACTTTACTCTACCTCGACACGATATTCCCCTCTAACGAATACAGAAAAGGCAAAAAAACTGTATTTCTGATTTTTCTAACAAGATTCTATTGTATTTATAACATGAGCTTGGATAAAATCGAAATGGCATGAAATCAAAAATGATTGGTCCCATTGTTATGATCATGTGACGGTCATGTGATACTCTAAATTTTCGAAAGATTTGATTCAGGTAATTTTTCTCTGCTTTTATGCATGATTTCTCCTTTCCCTGGGTCAACTATACACTGTAAACAAGTTCTACGCAACTAATTTGCCAATATGTATTTATCTGTGTGGTTGATTGGTTGATAAAACAAATAAATAAACATAAATAATCAAAGGTCTGCACTTCAAGAAATTCTCACGTTGAAACGACATAAATGTCGTAATGGCACGAAGACGGGAAACGACATATATGTCGTAACGGCACCAAAGAGGTTAATGAATACCTAGCAAGAGCTCAAAAAGTTCAATCATCTATTTATCTCAAAAAGACCTCAAAAACTGAGCTTGAATTAGAAATGTGTCTTCTAAAATCTTCCTCGCCTGGACCTGATGGAATTCTACCATCACTTATTAGGTCCACTGATCCACTCTTGTATATATTTAACTTATCTTTTAAATCTGGTATTTTCCCAGACGCCCTCAAATTGGCCAAAGTAACACCTGTATTTAAAAAAGGTGTCACTACAAATCCTTCGAACTATAGACCAATTTCAGTTTTATCTGTATTTTCTAAATTGTTAGAAAAGCTCATGCACGCCAATCTCACTGGTTTTTTAGAACGTAATATTTTAGCCGCTTGTAAGATTGGGACTTGAGGGGGCCAATGGGATGCTTTCGGGGGTCACTAAGATGCTTTTAGGGGGCATTGTAGGGCCACTTGGATGCTTTATGATGTTTTAGATGTTTATAATGGTGCTATGTAGGTAGAGTTGAATCAACTGATTTGGGGAAAACGAGCATTGGCATAACATTAGATTTTTCCAAGGCTTTTGACACAATTAATCATGACATTTTGATACAAAAACTTGAATATTATGGCATCAGAGGAATAGCTAAGTCCTGGTTTGAAAGTTATTTAAAAGACCGCAAACAATATGTCACCATTAACAATTATGAATCTAAACAATCATCTCTAAATTGTGGTGTTCCGCAGGGCTCGGTACTTGGGCCACTATTATTTATTCTTTACATATATGATCTGCCTTTTGTTGCCCCTAATCTAAAATTTATTATGTTTGCTGATGACACCAATCTTCTTGATAGTGATTATGATTTAAATGAACTTATGACTAGAACTAATGCAAACTTGAATTCAATAGATGACTGGATAAAAGCAAACAAACTTTCACTTAATATTGGCAAATCCAATGCTATTCTATTTGGACCCCAAAAAAATCAAACAAATCTGAATCTTAAAATACGCAATGAGAACATAAATTTCCGGGAAAAAATTGACTTTCTTGAAATTATTATTGATAAAAACTTGAAATTTAAAGAGCACATAAAATCTGTTGAAACAAAGATTTCTCGCGTCATTGGTTCTCTTTATCACATTAAACATCTACTTCAAATAGACAGTTTCAAAACAATTTACTACTCATTGATACACTCTCAATTAAATTATTGCAACATAATCTGGGGTAACACATTTAAATCATTTTATGATCGTCTACATAAACTGCAGAAACAATTCTTAAGGCTAGCTTTAAATAAGGATAGACTTTCTCACTCCGCTCCCCTATTTAAAGATCTTAGAATATTAAATATTTTTGATGTCAACAGATGTTGTACTGGTCAGTTCATGTACAAAATCTTTAATAAGCACCCCAGTCTTCCAAAAAATCTATTTCAAGACTTGTTTGATATCAACATTAATATTCATCATCATTACACAAGACAATTGCATTATTTTCATATCCCTAAATGCTCCAAACTTTCCCTTCGCTATCTGGGTCCTAATCTTTGGAATGCTCTACCACATGATATTAAAAAATGCTCCACTCTAAATATTTTCAAATCTTCATATAAAAAACTACTCATCTATCGATAATGTATAATACCAATTTCATACTATACTGTTGATTTTATACTGGTACCCTATTTTTGTAACATTTTTACATTGTACATCCTTAGATTAATTGTTAATACCATTTTTATATACCTACATGTAACATAATATAAGTGTTTTCTTTTATATGTAGTCTAGTTGTCATTTTAATGATTTCTGTTAAACCGCAACATATACCCACTAGGGTGTCTAGCGGCTTGTTTTTATAGTGTATATTATATAAGAATTATGAAATAAATAATTGAATTGAATTGAATTGAATTGTTCTCAGAAATTCAAATCTGACTTTAGATTTGACCTTCAATGACCATCTCAATGTCAAAAAAGGTAAAAAAGGTATTTTTTCATCTTGCTTCAAATTGACTTAATCTTTTTTTCAAAATCATCTACATGTTCTCAGAAATTCAAATATGACTTTAGATTTGACATTTGACCTTCTCAAGGTCAAAAAAGGTCAAAAAGGTTTTTTTTCAAGTTTAAGTTTGAAATTCAAATCAAATATTGTGAGCAACTAGTTGGTGACATTTTGTCATGTTAATGCCTTGTTTACTTTAAATCAATGACTTAAAACAAAAAGCAACATTTACACTCGAGGACTGATAATGGATGGCGTGATAATCTGTGGGTTAGATTGTATTCCCGGGTTGTATTTAGATATAAATTCAAAATCTAAAAAATCATCAATTATCTTTTTCGTTCAAAGTAAAGTATCACTGGAGTGTGCTTTGAAGAAAAGATCCCATTTGTAACCGGCCATCTATGTAAGTCGTTAGCATTGCATCATTTTACTTGACTAATTGGAATTCAAAACTTCTTGTAACAACGATGTAAATACCTGTAACCTTGAAACATTTTGGAAATACCTGAAGCATTTTGGAATATTCGTACACAAAAGTGCTCGTTGCATATTTCAAATATGCATAATTTATTGTTTGAATACAATATATTATATTTTTGAAAACACTATTTGACTTAATATTATGGGAACATTTTCACTTACGTGTTTAATATTAATCTTTGATTTTCCCATTGTCAAAATAAGTCAGAAACTTTTCTCAAATTTGAATTTATTTCCAGTTTTCACGAAATTAACTCTAAAATGTGTATGATATGTAAAGTGTTGCTACGTTTACCAAAATGAGTTGCATATAATGTAATTTGAGGTAGAAAATTCCAAACATTAAAAAGGTATCCTAAGGGTTAATAGTTAAAATTCGATAGCTGTAAAAACATGCTGCATCTGCTGCATCTCATGAACGCTTTATCAGCATCATTATCAACATAACATTGATCAATTAACCTGGTATTCCCACAATGAATCACAGTCTAGTATACATTTGCATGGCTTAGCTTCCTTGTAAAGATAGATTTCACCCAGCAACATGGAAGTACATTAGTGTGTAGTCTTCACATTCTAAATGTAATAGTAAAGATGCGAAGTCACGTCCCTATTTCAATCACTGGAAGTGCATCCATCCCTACCAGACCTACACCAACGTGGGCTGCAATCATAGCATTCCTGGTCATCGGATGTGCGGTGAGTAAAGGGTTATTACTATCCATTTATTTTATATAAAACAAAACTGATTCCCGTAATAGTGTCACTACTGCCACATGTACTAATCTTTACCACTGGCGGATCCAAAAGTAAACAAAGGAGGGGGCAGAGTCATGATAATGTTCAGGGCCTCTAAATATTTTGGGCCCCTAAAACCAAAAGTTGGTTTTAATAATTTGGCCTAAAACGGCCAAATCATGCCCAAAAAGGCCCATTTTTCTAGTTCCATCAAAATGTTGGGGTCCCAAAATTTTTGGGGCCCTAAAGATCTTTCTGGACCAACAAATGCCCCCATGCCCCCACCCCTGGATACGCCAGTGTTTACTAAACGTGATCTTCAAATATATTAATATCATCTTATATCAGCTTATTATACAGTTTCATGCTTTCATTTTTGTACGTGTTGTGTAGTGCATGACATTTTGGTCTTATCCGTTGCTTGTACGGTGTGCTCACTCCTTCCCAACATTGTCTACATCTTCCAGTTTTACACAACGAGTGAACTTATGTGCCTAGAAAAGACTTGTTAGAAGATTTGTTTTGTAAAATGTATAAAAAACGAGAAAATTCAGTGAAAAAAGAAGGAGTGATTCTTGTTTGAAAAATTACATGTGACCCAATTGAGGAAGGCAGAAAATTTCCTATCATGCACCCTGACCTTAAATATAGGAATCACTAAAAGAAGATATTTTCAAAGAAACTTATTGCAAGGGTCATCAAGTTTGCAAAAACATCAATTTCAATCCGTGGAGTTAAGTTTTCACCTTGATAACCACTTAAAGTGGGAAGTATCGATTGCCGAGTCGTATCCAATGATCCTGGGCCTATCGTAAAATGAAAGCTTTGAATATGTTGTTGTCTTTAAAAATGTATCTATTTTCCATGTATGCAACTAGAATTTGTGCACATACCTTATAACGATCGATAATTGCAAAGGAAAATCCTCTAATTCTTCGTCATAATTTCTCCTTCGACATCCGCCATTTTTTATTAAACCGGAAGTTTGTTCTCTGACGTCTGCGCAATGATTTTTCACTTTTATTTCAGATTACGCTTCGGATTCAACATTTAATGCTTTCTAATATTAATTAAGTGTTTTCTATCAGAAAGATTCCATAAAAAGTCTCACACTATCAGAGATTTTATCGATTCGAGCAGCCAGAAAAATTAGTTTCAATTTCACCCGCTAGGTGTTTCGACGCCGACTTGGAAAGAATTTGAAAAATCTATGAGTGGGACTCCTTGTATGGACTTGTAGATTCTAAACGATTTGCCAGTTCTACTGGTTGATGAATATTGCCATATTCATACATTTTTATAAAATAGGAATAAGGAAGAAGATGTTGGACCAAACTTCACCCCGATAGCTCAGAAAAGGTAAAATTTCTCCATTTTTCTCTCCACAGACCTTAGAGCCGCTTTAAAGGAATATTCCTTGCCAGACCCTTTCTCTCTTGATATGGTAGCTATAATCATATATATATAGTTTCCATATTTAACAAAACACGGGAAAATGTTTTAATATGGTCAATATTGATCATTTAAAATTCTAGTGCTTATTTCCAGTGAGCTGCCATCTTTTAAGATTTCTTGCAGGAAGTGATGTCATCAACTCTCAACTTCCATAACCTTGCCCATAACAATATAAGAAAGTAGCACAAAATCACTTCTAGACAAGTGATCATTACTTTCTGTGCAAAAATATTTTCAGGGCTTGTCAACTTAGAATAATAGAAGAGATTTTCAGAAGGATTAAATAAGATACAAAGTTGAAAAAGAATATTTAGCTGGTTTTGTAATTCTTAATAGCTCCTCACCTAATGCTATATGCAAAGTTGAGAGTCGATGACATCACTTCCTGTGTGAAATTTTAAAAGATGGCAGCTTACTGGAATTGAGCATCACATTTCTAAGTGATCAAATTTGACCATATCAAAACATTTTTGCGTGTTTTGCTAAACATGGCAAGCATATATATGGTTATAGCTACCATATGAGGAGAGAGATGGTTTGGCAAGGAATATTCCTTTAAGGAATGACCTTGGGTGCGGTGATTGGTTATATAATGCACTGCAGATATATGAAATACTGTGTTTGGATTGGCCAGAATAGGACACACCTTGCCTAGGTATTCATAGCAACACATTCTGATACTCATAGCATCTTTCTGTTTCACCTGAAACATCTCAGGGCTGAGAAGAAATGAGATGTCATGGTTTATCATGATGATAGCAACATCATAACTTTCATTGTGTTGTCTTTGAAACATAGTAATCGGTTATCAGTTCCATCATTGTGTAACATTAGTACAATACTCTTGATATAATTCTACTTGTACATGTAACTGCACATAGTAATAACTTTACAATTTACATAATATATACTCCTGAAAAAATGACTGGTCACATTCTGATTACGTTATGAGTTTTTCTTCAGTTTTGGACTTAAAAATACATACTATACTTATACTACATACTCGTAGAAAGTTCTGTTAGTTCACTTTAACCGTTTTTGTTTGTTTTAGAATACCGTTAAAAGCAGGAAATCAATGTTATTGGAAACTCCATGCAAAATAGGGAAAGAATACAAAGTTGTGGCAATAGATGGGCGCATACATTGTAAGTCATGCTCACATTGTGCAAGTGGCGAGTGTATATCCACGCATTGCTATGAATACAGGGATACACAGTGCCGAAGTGTTGGGCCGAATGAATTCATAGAAGGGGAGGTGTGTTACCCATGTTCTGATTGTGGTAGTAAACGAGAGGTGTTGCAAGGCTGCTCGCGTGATTCTGATACACAATGTGGTGGATGTGTTCTAGGTTTGTTATGTGCTTTTAAATTATTGTATATAAATATAAATAACCGTATCAACAAAGGATTTTCAAGATTTTTTCGAATGGAGCTGCAATGTAAGACGCGTATTGAGATTGTTCAAATGAAATCAAGACATATAACAAGTGAATAACCATACGCGAATACTGAACGTGCATATGTGTATTGAATCAAGTTTTATGGGAAATTGTTTTGAAGGTTATCAATGGGACTTCATGCTAGAAGAATGTCTTCCCGACCCGCAATCCAAAGCTGCAAAAGGCCATCACCTTGCTGACCAGTCATTTCGTTTGCATATCAACAAAGAAGATTTAACGACTCATCCCGAATCGCAAGACAATGTGACATTCGACTTATTCGACGATGTCAGTAAATATGATCCAGGTATACTTTCCATTTTCCATTTCCAGCTATAACAAACGTGATTTCTGTCATTTTAGCATATTGGTGATTTAAATTCTCGTTTTTACGTTATATTTGCAAAAAATAATATATTGCAAATCATAAGTGAAATAAACTATAAGTTAACCGTTTTGATGCATTGCTGTCACCGTATTCGATATCGATGAGCCTAATTTTTGAATTCTTTAATTTTCCAGATCAAGAAAATGGAATGATTATATTTTTGACGATTACACTAGTCGCGATAGTGGTATGTGTTATTTTCGTTGTCTTGATCATCAAGATGAAGTGCAAACGCCGGTCTTATAAAAATGACCAAAATGGAGACAAGGCGTCTCGTCAAATTTTAATTGAAGGAGGTGGAAACGCTGTGTGGACCTTAATTAATGTGCAATGAATCGAATAAACATTGTGTAACAGTCAAGCAAAATTACACAATCACCACTGCAAAAAGTACAGTACTTTACAAAACATGTTCCAAGGGGGGGGGCATCTGGGTGGGTGCCTACTTGGAGCATGTTGTGTCAGGTACTGTAGTTTTTGGATCAATAAGCAGATTATTATTAAACTTTCACAACAAAATTCTAATTAAAAGAACTTATTAATTTTGAAATGTCAAAGCAGAATACGCAGGATTGACCGTAATAATCAACTTTTCCATGGTCCTGTTTTTTGGACACCCTGTACAACTATAAGTTAAAGTACATTTTCTTAAGATAATAAACTAGTAAGAATAGTAAACAAGCATTGAGTCAATGGATGTCATGTTGAGGTTCATATAATTAACATAAGACGAGAAAGTCTACACCCTCACATGGTCATTTGTTAGCATTGAAAAAATCATCTCTCGACTTGTGAAGGAACATAAAACTACCTCTGCATAACTGCTCGACCTTGTGACGTGTTGACACGCTATTTTACGATTTTTGATGTAACTTGAAAAGTAGTGTAGCGATTTTTGTTTATATTTCTGTGAATACTCATGAGCATGGCACGCCTTTTTACGACATTTTGTCTGGTAGTCGGCCATTTTGAAAAATTTACATGTGTGCGATTTTGGGGTGATTTTGGGGTGGTCTCCATTTTTTGTGACGGCGGTTGGCGATCGGAGGATGGCGGTTGGCGGTTGGTGGTTGGCGGCTCTAACAAATTCTTACAGCTTCCAATAACTTAACAAGTTTTGTTTGAAGACAGCCCTCAATTTTTTTTCAAAACCATCTTCACGTTTTCTGAAGTTCAAATTTGACTAAAGATTTGAGATTTGACCTTCAATGACCTTCTCAAGGTCAAAAATAGGTTAAAAAGGTCAAAGGGGTCTTTTTTCAACTTGCTTCAAATTGACCAATTTTTGTTCAAAATCATCCACAAGTTCTCAGAAGTTCAAATCTGACTAAAGATTTGAGATTTCACCAGCAATGACCTTCTTAAGGTCAAAAAGGTCTAAAAGGTATTTTATCAACTTGCTTCAAATTGACCAATTTTTTTTCAAAATCATCTACAGATTCTCAAAATTCAGATCTGACTATGGATTTGAGATGTTGACTTTTAATGACCTTCTCAAGGTAAAAAAAGATTTATTATATTGTACAAGTAACTAGGTGGTGACATTTTGTCATGTTAATGCCTTGTCGAAATTTTTTGCTCTAACTTGAAAAGTAGTGGAGCGATTTTGTTTATATTTGATATGTGAATACTCATTAGCATGGCATACTATTTTATGACATTTGGCTAGAAGGTGGCCATTTTGAAAATGGTCGCCATTTTGAAAATAGCAGTCGAATGTAAAAGGTATGACTACCGTAATCCAACACCAAATTCGAAAATTCATATTAATACTTTGCACATATGGGGTTCGTGATCAACTTTAAAACTGTAGCGACCCTCACTCTGCACGGTAAGCGCAAAAGGTAGTGGTAGCGTTAAAAGGTTTACGAGTGAGTGGAAGAATCGTCACATTATTACTGGGTCCGTGTTGTGGTTGTATACGCTCTCAAGGGTTTCACAGACATGATTTGTTGAATGGCAAAATGGCCGAATATGTCGCACTGCGACATAAAACATACACCTAACTGACAAAACAGATGATTTAGTTTAAATATAAATGATAACATAGTTATGGGTTTATTCACAATGTGATTATAAAGTGAGTATAGTAATGAACAATCACACACATAGTGTGGAAATATATATGAATAAAAGTTCTGATATTGTGACACCTGATTGATAATGGTGCAGCGTTACTCAATGGCAACGGGTACCCATATTCAAGGATTACGCACAAAGGTGGATCGTTATGCAACTAAGATCCCTGATATGTAGTTACAATTATATACATAGTATTTCCCATCAAGTACAATACATACTTAAGTAAGATTACATAGTTACCAAGAAGCTGATACTGCAAATACACATTACTGAGCTCATATTCATAAATACTACATTAACTGCACATATAAACTATAACATACAATACTTTCATCTGGGAGAGTGTGTGACACAACTGGTGACCAAATAAACATACATTGCAATATGTATGACTTTGCAACAACCTATGACACAATGTAAGACCGACTGGCATATCAACGTAACATCATGTAGTCACAAGCTTGGGTGAAACATACCAAATAATCACTATAACAATAACTTGTACAACATTTGATTCAACATACTAAGTAGTGATAACAATATATACATGACTGCTCATTATGTAACATGCTAGTAAAATTAATGTCATATAACATGTGGATGCATGTTATGTAGTAAATGATAAATCATGAAACTGTATACCCAAGTTGGTAGTAGTACATCACCAACTTATAATATTCCATGACACAACATAGGGGTGGGTGCAACGACTTGTATTCCCTTTGGTAATATTGGGTGAAACAAATTGTATCTCCCTAGGGTGGCTTTGGGGAAAGCCATACATGCATACAGTATATAAATTATAGTACGACCTTAACGCAACAATACAATAAAACCGACGCTCCAACCATCAATAAACAATAGAATAGTTCAAGTCCAAAACAAGTATCAGGCTAGACCATAAACCAGGGTTCCAACAGGGTTTAACTCAACACAATCATCTATCTGATACTAACTGTTGCCCAACAGTAAGAATTGAACTCCATAAGCCGACTATATACAAGCCATACATTACGTAACATACAGCTGCACAGGGTAGTTTGCAGTGTACCAAAACATGATCAATCTAGGTATTGATCATACACAATGCAAACCAAATCTAGGTCAAATAATTCCAATCTGCTTTTGCATGAACAAGTCAAATCAAAATCTAAATGTTATCCTTTCCAATTTCGCCGCACTCAATACATAGAGTGCTCACAACTCGAAATGAGGTGTAGGGTGTCCATCTACATGAGCTATTTGCATCAGCATATGAGTGGTTGGTGGTTGGTGGTATGTAATTCGCCATCTGACGTGCTGACACTTGCAAGTCATGCGGGAGGGGTGAACCTCAAACTTCAAGCCTGATTTGGGGGTCAGACTTCGTGCAGATCCTGTTGTAATCACCTCATGTGGACGGACGACTTACTGGTGTAAATCGTGAGACAGTTTAGACACCTCGACGGTCAACAATAGCGACATTTTGAGTGAAGATAGCGGAGCAAATCACGAATGATTTACTCGAAAAACAAACGATGGCTACCTGCCTTATGCACATGCGCACCTGCGCAGCGACCTTCATAAATTACGAACTTATGTAAATCCACAAAAACAGCCATAACTTCGCCAATACGGGGCCGATTGCAAAGTTTAAAGTACCTATAGAAAGCTGATTTTATGTTTTATGTGCATATCCTACTAGATTAATGATAAAACATAGTAAACAGGGTGAAATATAGACCAGAAAACTACGACAGTAACCTTTTTTTTTATTCCTTCATTCTTATTATTGTGTACATGTAAATGTAAATATAAATATGTACATGTAAATGTAATGCAATTAATAATATAAATAAAATTTACGTAGACAAAAAAATACACTTATAGTTATGTTGTAAATGTATGTTGACTAAATGAATGTTGAATAAAATTGCAATTGTTGTTGATTGTTGATTGATAAAAGAATGAGTAAGAATAAAGTGTATGTAAAACCAATGCAAGGGATGTGCTTTCCTATCCTATTTTGATGCTGTTTACTATATGTTGTAAAGGGATCTACAATGTTTTTATTTACTGCTTGAATATCTTTTGAGCAGTTTTCCATGCTTTGTCATGGGCTTCTAACTTGTTATTCTTCTCTGCATTGCTTCTGCTTATGATTTCCTGGGCTTTAACATATTTCTTGAGGCCTGTCATATTTGGTGGTTTATTGTCTAATTTGTTGAGATAGATGTAGTGTTTAACCAAGAGTAGCGTCAGGTTTTCTCCTAAACTGGTGTTCTCTCCTAGGAAGTATTTTGCTCTTGTCAGGTTTTGTATTTGACACAGTTGGGTGACCATCTCTATGAATGGTTTGACAGCTATACATTCGTATAGACCATGTTCGATGGTATCCTGTTTGTCTTCTTTACACAATTCACATTGTGGGCTTGTTTTGATTTTCATATTGTGTAGCATTTTGTTGAAAAATATTGTTCGAAGTAATATTCTATATTGGAAATATCTCAGTTTTGTTTCCTTTGTTGTTATGTATATTCTACAGTAGTTGCTTTTCCAGTTTATATTTGTGTTGTCTATCGCCTTTTCCCATAGTTGTTGTTGTTTTATTGGTTCTTCAGTGTGGCTTTTTTATGTCCCCACCACATAGTGTGGGGCCATATTGTCGGCCTAGGCGCGTCCGTCTGTCCGTCCGTCTGTCTGTCCGTCTGTTTGTCCGTCTGTCCGTCTGTCCGTACGTCCGGCAGTTTTCTCCAAAACCGCTATAGATATCACCTTCAAATTTTCAGGGATAACTAATGAGTGCATACAGATGTGGATGAAAAAAAATTAACTCGATACCTACTTCCTGTCGGCCATTTTGAAGTCAAATGCTAAAATCCTTGTCTGCAAACTTTAAGAAAAACGGCTTCACAGTTGCTTTTAAAACTTTAATATCTTGTTCAGCTCACTTCATTCTAGATCTGATTAGGTTTTGGACCTGTTAGCTCAGTCATGTCAGCCATTTTGAATGTTTTAAGAAAAGTTAGCGCACGATAATACTTTGTATCATATTGAATGGTGTTTTTCAGTTTTCATACTTTAACTATTTAGTAGCTTTATAAATAATTTCAGGTGTACTTTGTTGTAAAAGCCTATGTTATTGTTAACAGTAGTTATATGTGATAATTTTGTAAAAGGAATTTAGCAAAAACTCATAATCACTTTTTTATTGTCGGCCATTTTGGATTTTTCCGTCCTAAAATCTTGTGTGTAAAGTCTTGTCTACGCGTTGTCAGGTGAACCGTTTGGTAGATCAATTTCAAATTTTCAGGGATGATTCTTAGTATGAAAATCTAGATCTGATTAGTTTTTGGGCATTCTGGGTAAATGTCAAGGCAGCCATTTTGGATTTTCCGTCCTAAAATCTTGTCAGTAAAGTCTTGTCTACGCATTTTCAGGTGAACCGTTTGGTAGATCAATTTCAAATTTTCAGGGATGATTCTCAGTATGAAAATCTAGATCTGATTAGTTTTTTGGCATTTTGGGTAAATGTCAAGGCAGCCATTTTGGATTTTCCGTCCTAAAATCTTGTCAGTAAAGTCTTGTCTACGCATTTTCAGGTGAACCGTTTGGTAGATCAATTTGAAATTTTCAGGGATGATTCTCAGTATGAAAATCTAGATCTGATTAGTTTTTATGCATTCTGGATAAATGTCAAGGCAGCCATTTTGGATTTTCCGTCTTAAAATCTTGCCTGTAAAGTCTTGTCTACGCGTTTTTAGGTGAACCGTTTGGTAGATCAATTTCAAATTTTCAGGGATGATTCTTAGTATGAAAATCTAGATCTGATTAGTTTTTGGGCATTCTGGGTAAATGTCAAGGCAGCCATTTTGGATTTTCTGTCCTAAAATCTTGTTTGTAAAGTTTTGTCTACGCACTTCCAGGTGAACCGTTTGGTAGATCAATTTCAAATTTTCAGGGATGATTCTTGGTATGAAAATCTAGAACAGATTAGTTTTTTGGCATTCTGGATAAATGTCAAGGCAGCCATTTTGGATTTTCGGTCCTCAAATCTTGTCTGTAAAGTCTTGTTTACATGTTTTCTGGTTAACTGTGTGACGGATCAATTTCAAATTTTCAGGGGTTCTTAGTTTGAAAATCTAGAACTGACTAATTTTTTGGCATTCTTGGTAAATTTTAAGGTGGCCATTTTGGATTTTCCATCCTCAAATTGTGTCGGTAAAGTCTTATCTACTCATTTGTAGGATAACCATTTGACGGGATCACCCATAGGTGGGGACATTTTGTACACATTTGTGTTCTTGTATTAGTATGTTATATGTATCCTTATTCGTCATTGTTTGTAGTTCCTTTATAGAAATGGATTCTTCTTTCACATCAGTTTCTGTCTCGGTCCGTCTCGGTGTTTTTATTTGGTTTCTCCATTCTGCTGGTATGCTGTGTATGATGTGGTACCATTGAATGAATGTTGTGTTTATTAAATCAAATTTCCTTTTCAGTGCTTGGTACGGGATTAATTGATTGTCCTCATACAACTGTTTGATATATATTATCCCTTTGGATTTCCACCCCTCTATATATAAGGTCTCCCTTCTATTTTGTACATGTCTATTGTTCCAAATTATCTGGTTTTCGGGTGTATGGATGTCCTTGTACTCCTTAAAATGTATTGCACACCATGCATTGTATACGTCCCTTGCTGCTGTAAGTTTTATGTTGCTGGCAATCATCGGATTGATTTCTCTGAGGTTGTATTCCCATGCATGTTCTCTGATATCTTCCAACTGCTGTTGCCAGAGTATTTTCCACTTACTTTTTATGTTGTTGTCCGTTAATTTTTTAATCCATTTGAGTTTTAATTTATTAGCAAGTGATGGAATATGCGTCATTTCAACCGTAACCTTGACCTTTTACGTCAAAAGTACGAACGGCACTTAGAATAATTTGAGAATTATGCCAAAAGTACGAACGGAACCAACAATATCCACTAATTACTAGAATATGACACTTTAGTGGAAAATAACGATCTAAACATGTTTGTGAGTATATAAACAACATTAAGTGAAACCCAACAGTGGGGAGACATCGAACTGACATTACTGAATAGCGGCAAACAAGTAAGTAAATCTGTTGGGTTATCACAAAACGCTTACCCCCCATAGTGTTATATATCAAAATGTACCTGTTCATATAGGGGTTCGATTGATCTACATCAAATTATAGGGAGTCGGGTTACTTTTTGAGATATCAGCGTCCATTTATTGTAACTCGCGTTTGCTACCATTTCCTTAATTCTGAGATGATGGGCAAACGCGTAGTAAACATGCTCACGTCGGAACTATTTTTGACCTACATCGCTATTTTCGTAATTCAAATGAAAGTTGAACTCCTCCTCTTTATTTTGATACCAAATAGTTTTTAAATGGACTATATACTATATACTTTTTGGCGGATGGATATGGAACCTCATACCTTAACAAAGGAGGTTACTTCGCTAAGGCTTTATAACCACTCTACTGCCCTGTCAACCCTCACGCATTAGGCGTGATTGTTACGCATTTGCTGGAAAATAGAAATCACGCATCAATTTAGCGTGTATGATCAAATATACGCAAATCACGCATTTTGTTGAAATTTTTAAAAATCGGTCTTTTGTGAAATGCCGATAAGGTAAAATACCGAACGGCGAAAAAACGAACGCTTTCCGTTCGGTCTTTGCACGCGATTGCCGTTTATGTCACGCATTTGGTACAAAATATGTGTATATATGACGCATTTGTTTCGAAAATGTTCACACCTACCCCCCAATTGTTCCACTGCAGGCAACGGAGTATCGAGTTTGAATAATGGCTGCCAATGTTCCTTGAGTAGACCTAGCTAGGTACTAGGTAGAAAGCAACCTACTTTTTCACCCATTGAAATACATGTAAAATTGACAAAGTTCAAATCATAATTTCTCAAATCCCAGCCCATCGAATCCTCGCATCCATTCAGATCATGTAGTCTATAACTCCTATTCAAAAACTTCCCGTTCGGTTATATCATGGGCTTTCAACCAACTAGACTGAAAGCCCATGCCGTTATATGGTGAGAAAAATATCCCACGAACGAAAAAAGATTTTGCTACATTTATAAGCGAGCATTGATTTTTGGGTCTGTAAAAAGCACGTCCGACCTGATTATCCCATTGATTTACAAGAATATAATTCAATTTTTGGGTTCAAAATTATAATCTGATCTGTCAGCGGTCCCTGACACTCCTACTAGCTATTACCAAACATTAATTGCCAATACGTGTACAATACGTGCCATACATCTACAAAGTAGATAACTAGTGTTCTAAGTACTTCTAGCCTAATCCTATACGATGAACAATACAAATCTCAAGTAGGTTGTATTGACCCCTATATAGTTTAAAAAACACTGATAAGTAATATAGAAATTCACTGGTGGTCCACTCGATTACGCTGGTTACTGACACGGTAATGTCGGAACTTGGAAGGTACTATTTTTCTTTTTTCCTGTTTCGTTTAAGAAAATGTACATGCTTGCGAACATCTTAACCGTTTTTCGTGTAACTTAAGTGAGGCTATTAATTGACGATTCTGTTTTGCCTACAACGCGTGGAATAAGGAAAAAAGAAAAATCGTACCTTCGAGGTTCCAACATTTTGTTACCGAAACGGTTCGTTTGAAAGGGACACGGTAAAATGTGGATATGGCATACTTAAATGGAACTCATTAACATAAAGTTGTGTTTCCTTAAAGTAAAAATATAAGACATCAAATATATAATCCAGAATGTTTAGGTTCATTAGGGATGCGTCTGAGTTCTGTATAATGTTCTTGATCCGGTCCCTGATACATTTGTTAATGGATAACAAAAGTTGTAACTATTACTAGACTTAGATAGATGACCTGAGAAACTATTCAGACGAAAACCTTTTTAGTGAAACAAGAGAATATAAGAATAACATCAACGTTATATATTCTGACCATGCTGACTGGAAGGAGATTCAAGATTAAAGTAATGGGTGCAATAATCATAATATCATTAGTCTTATTTGCGTTTGTTTCATATACAAAGAACATTTCAGGAGATGTTAAGAAGCAACCTGATCTTAAACTCGATAAAGATAATAGGTGCCGTCAACTATGCACAGGGAAATATGACACCGCAAAAGGCTATCCATCCATTGCTAATTCAGGACTATATCGGGATTACTTATGCCCGACCATGTTTCGAGATATGGCAGACTATGTTTATGCATGGCCATACCGTCATTTTGATGAAATTATCAATACACCAAATGTGAGAAAAGTTCTGGATTGCCTTCCTCCGATTCCAATATTATACTCTAAAGGCGATCCAAAAATTGTAAAGAGTTTTATCAAACAACTAGGAAACCATCTTAAACCTGGGTTTATTCTTCTAACTGGACAAACTGATTACGAAAGTCCAGGTAATAATACAAGATCACTAGATAATTCTATGATATTAAGATGGTACGGATCAAACCCTGGTATAACTCATCAAAAGTTCCAACCAATACCCCTTGGTTTAAACTGTTATGAGCACGGCAAGGGGATGCAGCATTATTATAACAAATACGGAGACAATATCATTGAAAAAATACAAAATAACAGAAAACGCATGGAAAATGGAGATATCCAAAAACTAGCCGTGATTAATTTCGGCGATACTCATCCGGTTCGACAGACAGTTAAGACCCAACTGTGTACTAAAGCAGCACGTCCTTATATAGAATGCCAGAATAAATTGTGGGCGAACGAGATTAAGGGAACTGAAAAGTTAACTCTGCTTTATGAATATCTGTCCAAGTATCCATTTTGGGTAGCACCCAGGGGCAATGGGCTTGACACCCACAGGATCTGGGAGGCCTTATATGTTGGCTCTATACCTATTGTACAAAGGTCCCGACTGGATCCATTGTTTAAAGACTTACCTGTACTTTTAATCGACAACTATGGAGATCTTACAGAAAAACTACTCAAAGAAACATTAATCAAGTTTTCAGATATGGATATTGATACGAAGACACTACACAGAAACTACTGGTGGAATGAAATAGAAAAATTCAGAACAGAAATGCTTAGTAAATTTAATCTTGTAGAATCTTATAGGTCAAGATGTTGGGCAACCAATTGGTAAAGAGAGGTGAATGAAAAACTGAGTGGAATCGAAAATAATCACTTTTTTGTAATAAAAATTCTCTTAAACCAGTTCGAGAAGTGTTCGGAATAGACCATTCTGATACTCATAGCATCTTTCTGTTTAACATGATACATGATCCCAGGTCGAGGATGAGATGCCATGGTTTATCACGATGGAAATAGACAGGTTTTACTTGACATGCATTTATTTCAGATTATGGCAACAATTCTATTAAATTATATATAATACAGTTCTCCACAAATTAATCTATACACAGTAGTGTCTATATCATTCCGTATGACACTCAAAACCACTTAAGTGTGAAATTAATTTTGTTAAAAAGTGAAAAAAATTCTAAAATGTTTTTTTCAAATAGACATATAGTATATCTGTATACAATTGTACATTCGTTACCCAAGGCATTGAAGTAAACTCCTAGGAAAAATAGGCGAATTTTCAAATTGAAATTAGGGTCCGTCTCAAACATGTCGATTTTCACATCTTGACCCCCTGATTAATATATCAAGCTATTCAAATTAGAATGCAACATTTTCAAAAAAACAAGAAAGTTCCGCATGGTACTTTAACTGTCCTTTAAAATCGCAAATGGATTTGGACTGCAAGCTTTTCCTTTTTGATGTGCATCACTTGTCAACATGAACCAATAAAATCTATCATTTTTCTCGATTTTTTACTTACCCTTTGTTTTTCATTTGAATAAAATTGAAAGGGTCGACTTTATTGAAACGTGAATCGATGCGATCATGAAAAATGATCCTAAAGACGATAAAAAATGATAACAGTTTTATTTGGGAAGAATTGATCATTACGCTATTTCACTATTCAACCGCATGTCGATTTTCACAAGACAATTAGAAACAAATGACAGTGATTTAGAAAGTTCATTTTAGGGAACGCTTACTTCACGAATCGACATTTTTGATATGTAGGATATAACTAGCTGAATTGAGAAACACCCAGTTTGTATTTGCATCCAAATATGACCACGTTTATGTAAAATTTCCCGTCAAAACAGGACATACGTAAATATGATTTGGAGAATCCTGTCGTTTTTCAGATTTTATTCTAAAATATCGTCAAAGAAAATAAACTTAGGACATGTACGTATTACGTCCGCAAAGTTTATATGCACTGAACACATCTTTTCTACATTCTTTTCACACCAACTTTACCAAAACATTACACTGATTCATGAGACAAGGGTTTACATTTTTAGATTGAATGAGAATTGGGTGACAGATGTCATGCCATGTCGTTAAAATATTTTTTGACACCCTTGGTATATGTTTCCCTTTTATCTCATATACCAGGTTTGGTACCTTGCCTTGTTTTTACAATTTGAGTAATTTTCCCTTCCTAGTGACGTTTTTCCTGCATGTATCACAACAACAGGACAACCATTTACGTAATATTGGAGTGCAATCAGCGTCTATCTAGATTTCTAGATCTGAAATGTCCCTTTAACATATTTCAAATCAAGAACCCGATCCTTATTCTACTCGAGTGTACGTTATCAGTTGAAACATATGATATTGATGTCGAGTCGAGTCCAGTTAGGCTGGCGTATACGTATAGTTCAATCATAAAAATCATCTGCTCCGGTGTAGAGACGTTTCTCTTGACACCATTATCTGCGGAGCGCTTCGCCGATTAACCCCCCCCCCCCCTCTGTCCAAGTTCCTAGCACAAGACTTTTTTCCATGACCACCGGAAGTGTTTTTATTACTATGCTTTCTTCATTCTGAGATTTTTGTTTTAGCCGCTATAATTTCCGCTTTAGAGAAACAAATTTCTTTCTTGTCAGACTCGATCCCTTTTCCGGATTTCTGATTTCACATCTTACAATTAACTTTCGCTATTAAATTTGTTTCTTCTGATGTTTTGTTTGAAGCTCTTGAAGTCTATATATTTTAGTGGTCTACCCCCGGTTTTATTTTTCGAAGAGGGGAAAAATCATCTCGCTTTTGTTGCCTCTATCGTCGATGGCGCACCTTGTGCTTTTTGTTTCTATAATGCTAGTTAATTCGATTGGCGATATTTTTCAATGAGGAACGTAATCTTATGCACCTCATCTCTTGATTTTTTGATTTTTTTATTCTCGGACATTGATTTGCAACGAATTACGTTTGACGAGGGCATTCCGAAGTTGCACATCAGATCGTAATGTATCTAGTAGATCAGATCGTAATAATGAAATTAGAAAGTAATGATAAGCAAATATACATCATTGAAAAGCTATAAAATCTTTCATATTACAAATTAGAGATGCCTGTTTATGCTGTTCACCATTGAGAATGATGCATTCATTGAAAGGGAAGCTGATTCCAAACGTTAATAGACTTTATGATTGCAGTCAGCAATCCCCGGGAATGCACTGAACGAAACACTATTTACAGAGGTTGACACATTTTGGGCTATAATGGTCTTCATAGTGATTTTTGTAGCAATTTTTTTTCGGTAAATTATGCTTATGGAAGTTCCAAATAACTTGACACCTGCTTGCATGTAACGTATTTTTGTAAAGACGTATAAAATGGAAAATGTACGCTAAACAAAGAGAAAACTCTTTAGCTGTTATCTTTTCAATGTCTAACAATTGATCGTTATACGTAAATTACCATAAAACTGTTATACATGTGTTATCAGAGTATTGGTAATCATATAAAATCAAATTAATCCATCTGTGATTTATACAAATGACTAATTTACTGCTTTGAGTTCAATGGTATAACCATGTCGATTTTCACGCATGTCGATTGTCACAGTTTCACACCATATTCGCTCATAGATTGGGTCGTACTGGTTATTTCGTAAAATCTTTTCGTTGAAATAGAGTGGATACAATGTTTTTTTGAATAGTGTCCATCTTTACACAAGAATGCTGCCCATGTTTGAATTACATCTTGGTCGTTTTTCACAAGAAAAATGGTGAATTTCCAGAATTTTTCAGATAATGCTCATTATAATTCAATCACAATTATTCACGCCTAACCATCGCGTAAGCAGGCGTCACCGTACAGCGTCAAAAAATACAGTAGTACAGTTTTCTGTACGGTGACGAAAATTAACTGAGTTGAAGCAAAAACTATAATGAGGGTTTTAAAAAGATTAATTAGATGAAAATAAATACGATTTCGGGTGTAATAAAAACAGCATTCTCTTAGGAATGGTTTTAACTTTCTAATTATGATAAAAGTTTTTCGAGCACTGCTCGGATTTTTTCTGACTGGATCGGCCCACATAATCGACTCGAGAGAAAAATGGTGTTTTTTCACTTTTCGTTTGGTTATTATTTTCCCTGTCGTCTGAGAGTATGGATTATTTTTATGAGAATATGTATTTGTTATCTACACATTTTAGAACAGATGACTATTCGGCAAATAATCATTCAGTGTATTTATTTAAAAAAGATCAGAACTGTACGGTGACGCATCAGCTGTACGGTGACGCTTCCTTAGATTTTATGAAGTGCTCTAAGCTTACTGAACAAGAGGTAAAGAAGCGTCAGATCTACATGTACATTATCACTGGTAAGTATCAAGCGAAGGTTACAGCCGTCACCTTCGCATTTAAGATGGCGGACAGAAAGTATTAATTTCGATATTTTTAGTTTTCATGGAATTTACTATTTGAAAGTTGACGTAATGCTTTGGTATCATTTGAACTAAGCCAGGCTTTTCTCATATGACTAACAAAGATAGCCTACACAGCCATCTTTACCCAATGCAAGATATTGCATCTGTCATCCTAAAAAGTCACACGTGCAAGATGAGATTTACTTGTGACATCCCTTGTTTTAAAACATCAATAACATAGCAACAAGAGAGTTTTTGGTTTCATGATCTTTACCGTATCATACATTTCCAGTAACCTTCCATTAAGCTGTGGAAGATATCGTTGAACTGTAGCCCACATGCACTATATATGAACAAATGATCATACTCCAGAGTTTCCATTTCATACAATCTTAGTCTCATTTAGTTCATCAAAGCATAGCGTCACCGTACAGCTGGTGCGTCACCGTACAAATTTGATCTTTTTTAAATATACATAATGAATGGTTGTTTGCTGAATCTTCGCCCGTTCTAAAATGTGTAGTCAACAAATACATATTCTCATAAAAATAATCCATACTCTCAGACGGTAGGGAAAATAATAACCAAACAAAATGTGAAAAAACAACCTTTTTTCACTCTGGTCGATGATGTGGGCCGATTCACTCAGAAAAAATCCGAACAGTGCTCGTAAAACGTTTATCATAATCAGAAAGTTAAAACCATTTCTAAGAGAATGCTGTTTTTATTTCACATGAAATCGTATTAGTTTTCATCAAATTAATTTTTTTTAAACCCTTGTCATAGTTTTTGCTTCAAAGCAGTTAATTTGCGTTACCGTACAGAAAACTGTACTCCGCTATTTTTTGACGCTGTACGGTGACGCCTGCTTACGCGATGGTAAGGCGTGTTATTATCACGATTTGGAATACGATGGTCTGATAAAATGAATCAAGGACTTGTCAACCACATATAACCCAATTTTTTCGGATTCCCCTAATGCCCTGTGGGTGTGTTTTAACGACCATGTCGATTTTCACAGAATAAATTTTACATTTACTTTATTGAGTCTATATATTCGGTAATAAGTGGAGATCAAATCCGGTGCTCTCATCACACTCTGAATGAATGTTCTCTATGCCAGCATAACCAAAATTAAAAGATGCGACCATTTATTATTGAGATATTACATGTTTTCAAAAGCGTGTTGTCCTGTTACATTGGCAATTTCACCGAAATTCAGAATTTTGGAGCCAGATATCAACGCTACTTATGCTGACGTACTTCAGATAAAGGTATTCTATTTTAGAATACATAAAATGTTGAGCAAAAATACGTTCTGTTTCAGCTATGTTCAATTACATGAAAAATCCCTATTTTCAACACTTATTTGTTTTCACTGATGAGTCGTTTTGTTTGCATTAATAAGGAATAAATCAAACCATTTTATGTCGCAGAGATATGTTTTATATGTCTCTGTATGTCGTGATCTTATCCTTCGGGAAATGGGATTATGCTTCATAGCAAGTTTAGACGACGATACTGTATAGCACATGCTCTCAGGAATTGATTCTACTTTCAATAGACACCAAATTCATCTCTGATGATAGAAGAATGAAAAAGCCTTAGGGTCCCAACCTCCTTTGCTTACATTCGCAAAAACGTGAAAAATGACAAAACTTCTCATAACTTTTTGGAACTTAAACTATTGAAACCGATTCCACTTGCCGGTTTTATGCCAAAACGACATATACGGAATGATATAAACACTACCGTGTATATGTTCTACTTTTTGAATATGCAACATGCTTTACAAGTATACTGTTACCAGCATATATATTGTTACATGACATGTACAGTGTATATGCTACAATACAATAACGATTATAATCAGCTAGCTAGGGACAAAAAGTACCTGACATCAGTTGTTTCACTTCAGTTTGATAACACTATCATTGCCAGTTAATAATCTAGTCATGAGAAAAAGTTAACCCCAGTACGTTCATTCTGATTTGAGTTTTAGAATCTAAAAGAATGATGTTTTTTTTCAAAAAATAATCAGTGTGTAAAGTTCATTTCTATAAAAAGAAACTAGATCTTGTAATGCAAACGTTCACATAAGTGGAATCATACATGTATCTATCATGAGAAAGATGTAAAACATAAGAACTGATTAAATATTAAACGTGACACAGAAATGTAATGCACACAAAAAACTGGGTACAATACCATGGCTATCAAACACTAAATGAATTGAATCAGAGTCAGAATTAGATGTTGAACAAATATTTCACTCTATTGAGGTGAATACCTGTACATCTTTCACAAGTGATATTCCACGAAGCCCGAAGGGCAAGTGGAATATCACCTTGTGAAAGTGCTACAGGTATTCACCGAAAATAGAGTGAAATATTTGTTTTATTATATCACTGTCTAGCTAAACATCCCTAATATTTTTAAGTCATAGGTTAACATTGAAATACATTGAATCTACTCGGTTCGTCTGCCATTTTGACTTACACTGATCTAAATTATTTACACTGAACGAAAACAAATTCTTTGAAAATTCCCGGGAGCGTGGGATATCGCTAGATATCTCACGGTTGTCTTATCTGATTAGCATTGCCATTGAATATCGCCAGATATCCCACGACATGTGACCCGGTTTTGACCAATCATACTGTCGCTAGCTAGATAGTGATATAATAATGTTATTTATTCGGTCAACTGGCAAAATTGTATACCTCAATTGTAAACCTTGAAAGTACTGTTGACCGAAACTGGAGGTCTACTACTAATTCTAGTTTGCTGAGTAATAGTTTTCAACAGACAATCCTATGGTTTTTCAAAAATATTAATTATGTCCACTCATGGATGTCAATATCTTCACTCATTCGCTTTTCTCACTCATGAAGATATCAATATCCACTCATGGATATAACTGATATTTTTTAAAACCATAGGATATTTTCATAATTTTCGTCACCGAATTAATCGAACACACATATGAAGTATAGGTTGACCAAAATGAATTCAGTCCATAAATGTGCTTGTCATTTCTAAAATAAGATATATACCGACTCATGTCAAGCTGAGGAGATCACAAATCAGTCCTAAAACTTTGGATTCTGCCATTCAAATGGTCTGTCTTGGCCTTTCAAAAACGTGTTTGATGTGACAACCTCGACGTCGCAGCCACTCCGATTGAATGCGACGCATGAAGTTGTTACATAACGTGGAAACACTCTTGTCTTGGAATAGCTTGATGAATGACCCCTCTGATCTTTGCAGTGATTTCTGTTTTCAAGTGTGATTGTCAGGGGGTGGTTTTCATATAAGCTTTGTCTCTCAGATATCCTCACAGAGATATCTGGAATGTTCAAGTCGGGTGAAGGGTCACATATTTTGATTAGTCGACGCGGGGGCATTTCTCGTGAGGAACAATGGTGCCATGAGGACGGGGCCACCCCTGGGGGCCACCCCATAAGTCCTTGAAGTGACTGTGGCAGTTTGGGGATTGACTGATCAATTGAGATCAACTGATCATGAGCAAGTCACAGTCCAGTGATTGTGTCCTCGAAATCATTGATCGTCGTGTCAAATTCTAGAGAACATTCCGACTGAATTAAGTGGGGTGGTAGAGCCCATGGTCCATTTAAACGTTTACTATTTTCAGCAATACATATAGGCCGGTTATACCTATTTCAGTTTAATATTATTCTCACCAAATGACCATTGTGATCCTGGTCACGTTGCAGTGCCATGATTTCTGTTACTATAACAACCAGCAGACCAACAATAGTGAAACTTCCCATGATGGTTAAACATCATAACTATACTAATATCTGTTAATATCAGAATGAATAGTCATATATTTATTCACAAACTTGGGTACAAATAAAGTTTTCTTGGAAAAATTGCCACGCCCCCTTTTACACATTTTTTGCATAGCCATATTATCATCGGCAAATATAATTAATTGTAAAACATCAATTGATTTAGTATTATCAACCATACTCTAAATAAGTTTTCTAATATGTTTTCATGCTAATTCCTCCCAATTCCAGGAAAATATTATGTGCTTTGTCTCAGGGTAGGTCTTAAATTTTTACGAAAATGTGTACTTTTTTAACAAGTGATTTCTGTTACCATAGCAACCAGTTAACCAATATTGATGAAACTGCTCACAATGATAGGACATGATAAGAAGATGGTTACCTGTAAATTTCAAGATGATTGGTTGGATACTCTAGGAATTATACATGGCTTTCCTAGGACCCCTCTTAAAATAACACCAGGGGGGTATAAATCTGCATATTTCCAAAACGCTGAAAAACTAGACACCAATAGTTTCAGAATCAATGTAGAATAATAAACCACAGAAAACCTACATAAAGAGAAATTTGCTACTTTTCAAAACCACTTTTACATTATGCTCATCCAGTATAACATTATTATAGCTGACGTATCATCGCAAATTCTATGCGGTTTTTGTTTTTTTACCGACGAGTTACAAAACATTACACGTTTTTACAATAACATCTTATGAAATGGAAAATGCACGTGTTGCTCCATGTTTTATGTGTTTCATAAGCTGGATTTTTAAGCGTGTGTACTATTAAACTAAAATATCACAGTACATTGAATAGCTATTGGCATTGACCACTCTTATTTATTCGAGCAAATTAGTATAAAAGCTATTCAGCTTACAATGTACAAATAGTTTGATATGAGGAAAACCACGCATTGACATCACTGAATGAACCAGCAATCGTTGCAGAATTCCTCATATAGGTTGGTCGTGTAGAATTGTGTGCAGAGATTGTAGATAATTAATCACAGAACCAACTGGGTGTTATTGGATAGGCCTATACCTTTATTTTGTGAAATACCGAGGAATTGATCGTAAATTGCATTTGGTAAGTAAAGTCCATTTCACTGCTTCATTTCGTCAGTAGAACGGCAAAAATAAGAAATTGGGAGACCATTGTGCAATAATATATGGAAAAGTATATTCATAATGTACATGAATGACATTTATATATTTCAGATTTTTTCGTTTTTTGTGCAATAAGCCTGTGCCGTCTTGTAATTTGAAGAATTTCAGCCATGTTAATTTTATTGAAAATAACATGGCAGAGAGACATCCAAATATAAGAGGCCACACACTTTATAAGCCAAACTAGAAGCAATCCAAGATATACAAATGTCATTCATGTACATTATGAATATACTTTTCCATATATTATTGCACAATGGTCTCCCAATTTCTTATTTTTGCCGTTCTACTGACGAAATGAAGCAGTGAATTGGACTTTAGTCTGTTTTATCATTTTTCTGAGACCTTCTGGGCCTTTAAATATAAACCCATGCTTAACAATCAGTAAAAGGTTTGACGTGTAAACTTAACAGTCGGCGTCTTTGTAATATTTTATTTAAAAAATGCTTTATGGGTGTGAAAAGAACTCTATTTGGTGTTCTGTGCAAATGCTCAACTTTAAAACAAAGAGGACCTTACTTATTGTGAATAAACTCAATCAGAGAAAATATTTAGTCTACATAAAATACCAATTTTACAGGGATAAATAACATGCATTAATAATTCTCTGTTGATTAAAATATATTGTTGTTTCGATAAAATAACTCATCTTGGAATACTTGGGCCAAGTCAGGATAGTTTGGTTTGGTAAAACGTCTTGGATACCTCTATTTTGATTCATAGGGTTTCAGTTGGTCCATTTTCATTAACCCCAGCGGAAGGCAACGATGGGATTGCCCCGACCAGTTTGGCTTTCACATGATACCCCTTTTACAAAAGAACAGGACCGATTGCACTTGTGATTATTTATTTTTGGAGAAAATAGCTCTCACGTTTATATGTGCGTGCTTCTGCATTTGCCTAAGGTCTAACACAAACACATGCTCGCCAAACACTGACGTTTTCAAGGACGCACTAACCATGGCGCTAGCTAGCATTCCAATTAGCACACTTATTCACAGTATATGCAATTATACCAACAAACGTACAATTTAACCCGTTGTGTGGCTTATTAATTTACCAAGTTTGGCTACAACTATTATGCAAACCAGCATCATAATTACATAATACAATTTCTCTATATTTCATAATTTCATTCAACTTAAACCTGATCAGCTGTTTTATGTTTCAGTAAGGCGACACGGACTACAACCACACGGACTACAGTCATGAATTCTGGGATGGGGTACTCGGGTGACCATAAGCCCCTGAAACTTATGCTAATCGTGGGTGTTACCATAGCTTACACTGCATACGTTGGATGCAGTGGTCTTCTCTCTATGAACAGAAGTAAGTCAATATAAAAGTTCTACAAACTAGTCACTTAAATCGGATATTAAAACATTTTTGCAATTATTTTTAACAAAAAATAAACAAAATTCAAATAGAACCTTTTCGTACAATGTTATATCCCGTTCTCAATCAGAGCAAAATTCTGAACACTTAAGACATGTATAAGAAGCTGGCTTTCTTTAAATGATAGTTCTTTAGTCGTGCCCCGTTTCCTTTTTTACAGTTTTCCATATTAACCATGCTTAGTTGTCTGACATAGCATGACTAGCTATGTATACATGTAGTGTTTTGCGACTGATTAGAAATGATAATGCATGCCTAGGCTAAGTATGTATGAATATAATCATGTACTAAAGTCTTCGTTATGACCATGGCCAACATTTTTGTGCATTTACATTTCAGGATTCTTTGACATAGAAAACGATTTCGAAGCCAACAACACAATCCTCGATCACGACCTCGAGATCAACCCGGCCTCCTTTACGTTCTTCGTAGTTTGGGGTATCATTTACGTTTGGCAGTTCCTTTGGCTAGGCTACGCCCTCTCCACCCTTTGCAGATTGACGAAATATGGATATCTCTACGTTTCACCCAATATTTTACCAGCAAGCATCTTCTTTTTCTTTTTTATAAACAACGGATGTGGTGTCGCTTGGTTTTTACTGTACCAGAACTTGTACATTCCCCACGCATGTGCAGCCTTGGCTATGATGGCGTTCACCCTCTATTTATGTTTGTTCATATCGATGCGAGCCTTGAACAAACACGGCGAGAAATTAGTTGAGCAGCAGAAAGGATCAGACATTTGGATGATTCGTATTTTATGTCACAATGGACTGGGTATGTATGCCACCTGGTGTACAATTGCAACACTACTTAACTTTGCAACCACTCTTGTATTCTGGGCGAATGTTTCTAACGCCATGGCGAGTACAATTAGTCTCGCCATACTCGCCGGTGAGCTACTCCTCTGGGCTATACTTGACAATTTTGTGTTGGACAAATTCACCAGATACCTCATCACCCCGTATATTGTCGTTGTGTTCGCACTTGTTGGGGTCATCGTGAAAAACTGGAACCCAGATACACGTAATTCAATAATGAACGCAGTTCTTTTAGGCGTCGCAAGTGCTTTCCTCTTGATCAAGATTATTATGGTCATTTACAGACACAGGAGGAACCCTGTCGACTACGAGAACAAGGGAACGCTGAAACCTATCCCATAAATGATTTGTACATGGTTGAACTTTAAGAGAACTCTTGCGAATCAATTCTGGACTGATGGTGGTCGGACCCTTAAAGGCTCTATGAAAAGTAAACATTGGACAAAACAACAATACAGACTAAAGTGGTTAAAAACTATTCATTGGGCCTTTAACAGACCGACTTTAGTAGCTAGCAATATTATAACACGTATGTGGAGTCCATAGATATTATTCATTTAATATTTTAACGTTTTAAATAAAATCATATTTTATACTAAATAAAAGAAGTGTATGTTGTTGTATTGGAGTTAAGTTCAAGGCGGAAAAGCAAAAAAATGGGTTTGATATGAAAGACATGAAAGAAGGATCATTTTGAGACATGTTGTTTGTAATTCCATGTAGTTACTCCAACACCACCCCCCCCCCCTCCATTCCTTAAGTGCACCATTTATGCCATGATGGAATGATTTACGGGACACCCATTAATTGCTTTGAAAGTATTCTTCGTTTTTCAAAGTAGTACAGGTCGTGTCCTCACAAAAGTGAGAATACAAAGTTTGAATACCATAAGAATTTAATGATATTTTTCAAAACAATTCTGACACTGATCACACAGATCTATCTTTTCAGCGTTAGTGCCATGTACATTATTCACTGCTCTACCACCACTGTGGTTATACTGTCATATACGGTAATACAGTGTACATTTTCATTAAACAGTTAAAGGCAAAAGTCTATATTTATTTTATATAACGTTAATACTAAATAAATGAGAGTGTATGGTTTCATAATAACCTCTGCGTTAATTTGGAATTTTCAAAAAGACATGGCAAAAACACAAGAGAACGTTTTATTCGTCAATAATATTGAAATGGTGATAAAATGTAATGGTCATCCTGTAACCATAGCCTTTGCACAAGTTCTGATTCATTATATTGCATATATAAAGGAAGAAGAAATATAAGTTCCAAAGACGCGGCACTGACATAACTGATATTAAATTCGAATATGACTGTATTCACGCCTTCTTTAAACTGTGAACAAAGTCAATACTTCACCCGGTATTTATTTGTCGATACAATACCTGGTCTGAACTAAGTGTTTCGTTTAGTACACGTAGGAAATGGAGTGACGATTTTGCAAAGTTTTGGTGAGTTTTCATGAGCTATGCATATATTGTATATATTGTTTGCCAATTCACATCTGAGCCACTGGCGATCTAAAAAATCTATACAACCCTAAACCAAGTTTAATGAACTTGTGAATGAAAACATCATCTCTAATCCCACTTCGTGATAATTGTGTAGTTTTTGTTTACCTGAAAGAGAAAACTATTTCAGTTGTATAACATCGTTAGAAAAAATAAACAATGAAATAAATAAATTGCTTTGAAAAAGTATTTGAAATAGAATTATCCAAATTGTTACAATTCTATATTTAATATTATGATATATTGTTGGTTATTACATCAGACGAACACAATGAACTTAGAAAATAGATTGAATGATTGCTTTTTAAGTATTACTACGAAGGTTTTCACACCAGTGGAGAGATGAGAGATGCGTCTCGCCCTTACATACAGTGTGGTTGAACTTAAAGAGAACCCTTATGAATCAATTCTGGACGGATTGTGGCGATGTCTTTATATAAGGTCCTATGGAATGTTGGACAATATGGTTCAAATGGTTGAAATGGTTTAAATATTCATAGTGCCTCAGACTGACCATACAAGCTAGCAATATTATAACATGTATGTAGAGTCCATAGATATCATTTATGTCATATTTTTAACGTTATAAATATAATCATACTTTTTACTATTCAAAGCCTGTTGCTGTATTGGAGTTAAGTTCAAGGTGGAAATGCAAAATATTTTGAAGTTCGTTTGATATGCAGGGAGAATTTTTAGACATGTTGTTTGTAGCTCTCCATGTTCTCCCCCCATTAAGTCCAAAAACAAAGTTTTGTTTGTGGTGATACAAAATCGGAGCATCGATTGGGTTGATATTTGTCATACTACATAAAAAAATATGTTTGACATCAATGCACATGAATCATTTCAAACAACTTTTTCAGAAATTAGACTAATTCAATGTAGTATTTAAATGATTGTTACATAAATTCCCAATTAATTCGATTTTTTAGTAAATTGAATATGTTGAGTATGTGTTGGAGGATACAAAACATGTGGACATTATAAAACGTGTTAGTTTTTAATGAGTACGACATATCAAACAAACCCTTTTGAGAGATGGTGGGAAACATATATTATTAACCAGTTAGAAATCATCGACGGACTTGATGCATAATCTGTTATGTTGTTCGAGTTTCCATAGCATTTGATTTTTGTCCAAAAAATCACCATTAAAGCTGTTTTTAAGAAATAGTAAGCAATATATATATTCAATATATATTGCATGGTCATGGTAAACAGTTGTGTTGAAAAAACAATAGCACATATATAGTGTCGTTGATCTCAATACACATGGCGCAGGATGCGGTAGAACAGCAGAATTCATGGAAACATATCAATTATCGTAAATTTGCCCATATATTTAGCGTCATGCACTTTATTTGTATCTACTACTCCATTTATCACGATTCAAAGCTCACACTGATATATCTACATCATTTAAGACACACAGATGTGATTGTTTATGCTTCCAAGTTTCCTTTATGTTATTTCGATAGGTCGAGACTGAAAATCCGATATAACCATCTGAAATGTACTAGGACTCTAGTACATTTCAGATGGTTAAATCGGATTTTCAGTCTCGACCTATCAAAAGAACATAGGACTACCACTGTACTCAAGACTAATCTGTTCATAGCGAGAAAAAAATGTCAGACTGAACCGGTTATGCTGAAAACATGTATGTACTTTTTTTTAATCCGAAAATCCTAAATTGCCGATCAAAATTTACCCAGAATCCACAAGAAACAACAATTTTTTTACGTTCGTACCGAAAACCGGAGAAACACCTTTGAAAATGAAAGTTCAATCTATCAAAGTGTATGTCCTGTATCGTATAGACAAGACTTAAAAAAAGTTTTCGAGAAAATGGCCACCGATAAAACCCAGATAGAATGTCCAGATACTTATTGATTCTAGTACCCTTGTACCAAAAAATATTCGTGAAAATTTCGGACTTCAGATCTTAAAATCATGTATGTAATTCACTTTCGAGAATCCTGATATCAACGTTTTTGGATGAAAGGTCCATGTGCAGTATGGCAAGTGATTTTAGAAAGTCATATCTTTCACCAGGGGTACATTTTGGTCATCAATACACATGTTTTTATTAAAAACAATATGCTTTCAAGTGAAGTCCAATGATAGTGAAATATCAATCTAACTCTCTCAAAAATTATGGATTAGGACCCCACCTTGGCTATTTTTGGAAATGTAAGGGTCATTTTCTAAAGAGAGGATCTTGTTTTTCTCAATTTAAACATATTGAAAGTTTCTTCTACACTATATTCATAACTTCTGAAAAGGGGATGGGTATTGAAATGCGACAAAGTTAAAAACTACTTTTCCCATGTTATTTACACATAGGGAAAACTCGTGCTTTCCATTGTTTTCAGCATAACTCTGGTCATCGAAAATTAATATCTTCAAAACTAGCCTTTCAATACCATTCTTCTTTTGAAGAGGTTTTAGACCCCTGGATGAATAATCTTTTCATGCAATAAAAACCAGAAAAAGGAGATCCTCTTTTGAGTAAATAGGTTCAACATTAGAAAAAATGTTGACATGGGGTCCCTATTCATGATTTTTCAAATTGTTCGATTGATATTTTTATCATCATAGGTACTTCACTTGAAAGAAAACATATTGTTTTAATAAAAACCACTGTATTTATGACCAGAAAGTATTCATGGTTTAAGATATTGCTTTCTAAAATCACTTGCCATACTGCACATGGACCTTTAATTTTCTTTCCCCCGAGAGTGGTGAATTCTGATGTTGGACATCTTCGACCACTCGGCCCGCTGCCGTCGGTCAAAACGCAGTGAATGCCGAGCGTACGAAGAAGGGTATAGGGGACTAACCCCTCGAAAAAAGTTTGTTCCATTGAATGAAGCAATTGATTATGCGATTTTGTCGTCCAAGGTATCCTTCTAACTTACTGAAAATGGTGTCAAAGTGGGTCAGTGAGTATTCACCATTATTGATCCCTCCTCTTTGCCCCTAGAGTTTTTAAAATTGAATTTAAAAAAAAAATATATATATGGGCAATTACTGAACATGGAATTCGTAGCATAGCCAGATTTAATAACATTGCAGTATTGTCAATAATGTGATCAAGACTTGATTGTTTATTCCACTTCGATCATAAATCTACACAAATAAACTATGTTTGAACTTATGAATAAAAACATTATTCTATATCACCATTGTGATTATTTTTGTAAAGTTTTTTGTTAACTATGACAGAAAAATATTTCAGTTATACACCAGAATTAAATAAAATAAACAATAAAATAAATGCTTTGCTTTCATTATTGCCACAGCGTTTGAAATAGTATGTTATACAGATAGCGCCAATTCTATAGTGGTTATTGTCATGGTATTGATTTATTTCCAAGTAGTGTAATGAGGGTTTTGACACCAGTGTACTTATGGGAGTTGCATCTCACTATTACTTGCCACATCAACAGTGCTAGTCACTATAGAAGAGGATACAAGGAGCAACTATGGGAAAATATTTTTTGATCTTTATTTTTACTGTAATCTTAGGTAAGATTGAACAATTTTATGCACATACTTTTGACAATTAGGATCTTGAGTCTCAACTTAAGTGTGGATATATGAACTTTTTTTACTAATTCGAAGTACACGTCGTATGAAACTGGGGACAATAACGCAGATGCGAGTAGGTAGTTACCAGTTTCACCACCAGGTGGCTCGTTCGGGTCAGATAGCATGGCGGGTATAGTAGAAAGTCCCCTTTAACTTTAATTACATCTATTTTAGTGGTTTAATTTTCATATAACCCTTACGTATCTAATAGTTATGCCAATTAAAATATGTCCAGCAAAGGAAAATGTTATCTGCCCAACACAAGAAAAGATATTTCACTTTTTGTGATTTTGTTAAATGGGGTCTATGGGGAATAAACCCGAACTAGAAGTCACATTTTCAAAAAATATTAAATTTTCAAAGTTGATAAACAATTTTGGAAACCATATTCCTAGATGTACTTTTACATGTAGACTTCAAATATGACATCATTTAAACCGGATTTTGAATATTTAATGACGTAAGTCAAGATTATTTCTACTCGCATCTAGTCAATTAGCGTAACATTATGGCGTCAAATTACCAACAACAAAACAATGGGCAGTGTATGGCGCAAATAGCCATGGCTAAAAATATCTGTCAACGTCAAAAACGTCGAGCGTTACTTTTTTGTAAGTTTTAGTCAAGCTAAAAATATAATACTTCATCCTTATTCAATCATGATAAAATATACAGAGTAACAAGATCTCGAGAACAATGTTTCTAAAATGTTTTTAAATTTTGAAAAACGGTCAGGAAATTCACTTGAAGCTATAGTAAAATTGTTATGCATGGAATTTGGGGTAAAAATGAATGCGTTACATGTCATAGGTTGTCGTGAATCAGCTCTTATTTCAAGATTACTTGTAAAATTCTTGAACCTTTTATTTTTGGTAAAGGATGGGTTTCGATGTGGAGAACATTTCGAAAACACGTTTCTCTTGAACCAGTCATCGAAAAATTCTGAAAATTTTACACAATTGTCAATTTAATGGTCATCTTTTGAATGGTAACAATATAATGAAATAGATACATATACATGGGTGGTCCAAAAAAGTGAACCCCTGTATCGGGCTATATTTCCCTTATTACATGCAGGAATCCTTTCATATTTTCACATGTTGTAGAGGAAGGTCTAAATTTTTAGTTGGCATCATACATTTTTCGTGGTCTTGAAATTTGAAAAAAATATAAGCACTTTTCAAACATCACTGAAAATCGATAAAATGTGAACTTCAACATTTGCAATTCTTCAACCCTTCAACAATCTTCCCGTGGAAATTGTTTTAGCCGCAGTCTAAAAAACCTAAGGTTTTCTTACTTTGTTTGGATTTGAATCCTGCACATTATGGTGTAAAAATTAGCATCCTGCCTCTGTCAGTTGAAAAGTTATTGTGATCCAAAGAAATGTTCTTAGTTTCCAAAGACGAAAACATCTTCCAGTGAAATCACTACATATCCCTATATGGTCTTAAAATGTCAATATAGTCATTAATTATGGACCAAACAGGGGATAACTTTGCCCCTTTAACCATTTGTGTAGGTAACCTTATCTGTTGAATGGTCACACCTACTTCAAAATGGTCAATGAAAATGTAAAATTTGTTTTCTGCTCAAATAATGTCCCATTTGTCATATGGTCTGGTTTAAACTTATATCTCCCACTGAAATCTTTTTAAGATCATCCGATGTGTTTCAACAATTGCCGTGTAAAGCACTATCTAATTTTAGGCATGTTTAATTTGTACAAGTCTTGTAATTTCTTAAAATTTCAAGACAGCGAATAAATTATGGTATCAACAAAAAATTTTGACCTTTCTCTACGAGATATGACGATATGAGCCAATTCATGCATGTATTAAGGAAAATATAGCCTGTTGCAGGGGTTCACTTTTTTGGACCACCCTGTACTTTTCTCTATATTGTTTTAGAAAACACATCAGACGCTTCTTTTGTTCTTAGTATCATATGTTCCGAATGAAATGAAACATCTTTCCGAACCTAAATGGAACAAAACGACATAAACGAAACGTGTTTATGTCTCTCAATATTGTAATTGTACAAAGGAAAGTTTGGTTGATTTAAAAAAGTATCTTGTAAATGAAATAAAAGGTTTATCTTAGTTTTCATCCATTTTGGGGGGTTTTGTTTTAATTTTTGAATACTTTTTGTTAAATCACCCAAAATTTCCTTTGTATAGCTAAAATATTGAGACATCTAAGAAAATGTTGTATATGCTATTTTGTTCCAACAAGCTTCGGAAAGATATTTTAATTCATTCTCAAGAATTGGTAAAAAGGAACAAAAAATGCACTAAAAAACAAATAACGTTAATAAAAACAGTTAGATAAAATATATATAGATTATTTTCGCATTAAATTGTAGTCTATCAGTTTTTAGTTTAATATAGTTTATTTTTGTGTCACAAGCAATAATATTAAAATACATTTAAAACACTTTTTTAAAAAAACATTGCTTCTAGCCGATGCCGGCTTATGAGACACCAAGTTGATACATGTGTGGGTAATATTAAAATTCCCATGTGAAAATTACTAAATGCACAATAAGACAGTGATAGAGACCATAATTTTTGTATACTGAGTTCACTGTTTACTTCCACTTACTAAGAGGAGACATCTTCCCCAAGGTTGATGTTCCTGGGAGCAAATGGAAAGAGAAACCCTGCTTAATCAGTGATATAAGGGCCCTCTGGTTGGCCCAATACCCTCCTGAGGGGTCCCCCATATCACAGTGGATCTACAGGTTTGCATCTTGTATATATTTTGGCAGTATCACAGTTCTAAATAGTATGTAAAAGTGCTGTAAAGTGGCAGAATCAATATCATATGGCCTTTATCCCCAGACAAGCAACTTATGTATAATTGAATTTCAACAAATAGAATACAGTATGAGAAAATATACATTATAATTTGTTGTTATGGAATTATCTCAAATAGAGGTACTGTTAAAGTCTTTCTAGATCAAAGTTTCTTTTACTGAACATCTTAAATAATGTACTTGCAAAAGCTCTCTGTATACAGGGCGTGTGCATAAGTCTAGTAAACAGCAGAATATGATCATTTGAACCAGTATCAATGCTAGGGGCCAGCTTATTAACAATAGCCAGAAATTTTTTCCTCAAAACATTGTAGTGAGAGCATTTGAGAGTGAAGTGTATCTCGTCCTCAATCTCATTAGAGTCACATAAAGCACATTTTCGATCCTCAAGAGGTGTATTGGTATAACGGCCAGTTTCAATGTGTAGTTTCAATGTTCCAGTTCTCAGTTTTGCAAGAATACTTCTATGATGGCGTGGCATAAACATTTCAATGTATGCTTCAGTTGATGCACCATATTTAAATTGGCGATATGTTCTCAGTTTATTGCCATTAGTTTCATTATTTTTATCATTCCAGATATTTCGAAGAAAAGGATCAGTAGTCTGTAGGTGATTTTTAATAGCTTTGATACATGGTTTTGTCTCAATGTACTGATTATTCAAAAGTATACCACAAGATCAGTCAACATTACATAAGGGACCGTGTTTTTTTACAGAATTTTTTCAATAATTGGTTTAAGAGAAAAACATTGTTGAATTCAGTTCACCATATCGATACCAATGCATTCGCCAGGGCAATAATGTGTAGTTAAAGGATGTACGAGGGCGGTTCATAAAAAATAAGGTGCACTTTGATCTCATTTGAAAACTATACATTCAATCAATGTTAAATTTTCAGAGTTGATTATTTATGGAAGTGGCGACATTTCTGTGAGGTTTGATAACTATACCTCCTTATTTGGTAAAATTATGGTTGCTATGGCAACCAAAATTAGGAAACCACGGGTCAGGTTGTATTTTTCATACATGCACATTATTTGCATTTATCGTTTGTTGCTATAAAGTATATAAAACTTTATTTATTATATGCAATTCGAACATGACTGTATTCACGCCTTCTATAAACTGTAAACAAAGCCAATGCTTCAGCTGGGTTATATTCGAGATCAATAACCCAGTTAATACGTGTAATGGGTGACGTCATAATGGTGGGTCGTAGTAATGGTGGACAGTGATGAATATTCGAAACAATTTGGTGAGTTTTCATGTTCGAATCGTAATATAGACCTCAGAGCAGGGGTAATATCGTCGAATACACCCCTTGGGGCTAGGCACAAAAGCTTTCGAACCCCTCACTCCCTTCGATCGTTCGGGGTACAGAAAACGTTTGTGCCTAGCCCTGCGGGGTGTATTCGACGATATAACCCCTGCTTTTCGGTCTATATTTCTTAATTCGAACATGACTGTATTCACGCCTTCTATAAACTGTAAACAAAGTCAACATTTCACCCGGGGTATATTCGCGAACAAATCCCCTGGTAATACGTGTAATGTGTGACGTCATAACGGCGAGCAATAGTAATGGCGGACCATAATGAATATTCCAAACATGTTGGTGAGTTTTCATGTTCGAATCGTAATATAGACCTCAGAGCAGATGTAATATCGTCGAATACACCCCTTAGGGCTAGGCACAAAAGTTTTCGAACCCCTCACTCCCTTCGGTCGTTTGGGGTAGCCCTGTGGGGTGTATTCGACAATATTACCCCTGCTCTTCCGTCTATATTTCTTAAATAATATGATGGCAGTTATTTCTAAATGTGTTCAAAAGTTTCTTAAGTAAATGTGTGCTGTTACTGATGTCATAAGGTGTTTTGTGTATGGGATATCATTTTGACAACCCTACACCAAATTACACACCAGAAAATCAGCCATTTTGCGTCAAAATGGAAGGCCAACCTAAAAGAAGAAAAAATTGGCTGGTAGAACATTGTGTATATTTATTTATTTAATGCAATTACTCAGATGCGAGTAGGTAGTTATATGTTTCGCCACCAGGTGGCTGATTCGGGGGAAATAACATGGCAGGGTATTACAAAATTCCCTTAAACCTGAATAT